TTTTTGCAAAAAAAAAAAAAAAAAACCAACAAAAAACCCCCAAACCCATTCATTCTTACTGCAAAATCGATTCGAGCCCGAAGGGAGCAGATAAGGAATGAGCTGTCACCTCGGCGGGGCTTCTTTCCCCAGCCAGGCTGCTCCCTGTCTGATTTCTAAGCCGCGATTTTTTGGTTTCTCGCACTGTAATTTCTCCCTTCCCCCCTTGCAATTTGTGGGGCACCGTCAGGCTTTCAACAAAACTATTTTGCCCAAATTCCGATCGGGATTTTGTGGTCGAAATGCCCCCTTTCTCTGCTCGCAGCCGCGGACCGCAGCGGGTTGCGGCCGTGGGAACCCGGCGGGGCCGGGAATTGCCGGCGATTTTCTTCATAGGAAAGGAAACGATTCTACTTTATATATATATATATATAAATACGATAGGCAGAAAAAATAAATAAATAAATAAGAGGCAGCTCCTCCGCGAGGAGGTACAGCCACAAATGATCTGCAGTGGAAAATCGATTGCGAAGTTTCTCCAGACGTCTCCAAATCGCTATTGAATTTTGACGGAGATCAATGGAAAAGTTCTCGGAGGGATTCGTTGTCAGTGTGAGCGTCCAGGAGAATTGTTGGTGGAAATAAAGAGTGAATTCTGCGAGGTCTGCTGATGCGTTTCGTGGAAATCTACGGCCACCGAGACGGCTTTCTTTATATTATTATTTATTATTGTGGAATAATTCGAGAACGACTCCCCCCTTTTTTTTCCCAACTGATTTCACATTCTGCTTTCAAATAAATCGTCTTTCAAATAGAATCACTAAACCCACTTTGTTTTTTAAGCAGAGAGGATTTATTTGTAAAACTGTAATAATGTATATATTGAAAGCCAGGAATTTTTAAGTGCATAAAGCTGAGCCATGCAACCCCTGAGGTTTGCCAGAGCTGTCCCTTGCTAAAAGCTTGGGACGCCTCGAGAAATAACCCTCGTTGTATCTTACCTCTCCTCAGCTGAAAACATTACCGAGACGAATTTCTAGAGAGAAAAATAAAGCAACCAAGAAGCAGCGAGAGGACTTTGCGTGTTGCATACAAAACCTAAAAAAAAAACAAAGCCCCAAAACTTCAACTGGAGAACAAATAAAACAAAGTCGTCAATCTGAAAAATAATGCGTACGAAACGGAGCAGTGCAGACAGAGGAATCCTCGCGGACAGCAGAGCCCCACGATCGGGGCAAACATTCCCTATTCCCAAACGCGGCGGCTTTCTCTCCCCGTTCCTCCGGGACTTTGGGAGCGCCGTTTGCCCGAATTTCCCCACCACCGACGGTGCGGCGACCGTTTTCTTTTCGCTGCTTTGATTTTCTTTCTCGAGGAACCGAGAGACGCAGCTCTCAGATCTTTCATCCCCCGGGCATTTTCCCAGCCCGGTTTCCCGCTCCGGGCTCTGCCCGGTTCCGCTGTTCGGTGTCGCCGATCCCCGCTCCGGTCCCGGTGCTCACCTGCCCGGTGGGAGCACTGAGCGGCGTGTGCTGCCCTCCAGGGGGCAACGAGGGCTTTGCACCGCCGCACCGGCACCGGGAGAGGAGGTGGAGGGTAAGAAAAGGGGAGAAAGGAGAAAAGGGTTAAGAAGGAAAGGGAGAAATGAAGAAATAAAGGGATAAGGATAAAGAGGGAGAGGGCAGAGGGAGAGAGAAAGAGCGAGGAGGTGTGAAATAGAGACTGGAGAATGAGATCTGTGGGGAAGCGGCAGAAAGGAGAGAGGGAAAAAGGAAGAGGGAAAGAAGGAAAAGGGAAGAAGAAAGAATAAAAGAAGGAAAAGAAGGAAAGGATGGAAAGAATGGAAAGGAAGGAAAGAAGGAAAGAAGGAAAGAAGAAAAGGAAGGAATGAAGGAACAAAGAAAAGAAGCAAAGAAATGAGAAGAAGAAAGAATGAAAGGAGGAAAGGAGGAAAGAAGAAAAAAAGGAGGAAGGGAAATAAAGAATGAAAGAAGAAGAAAAGAAAGGATGGAATATAAAAAGGAGGATAGTAGGGACAGATGGAATGAAGGAAAGAAGGAAGGGAAGAAGGAAGGGAAGAAGAAGGAAGAGATAAATGTGTGACACTGGAAGAGGGAAGGGAAGGGAAGGGAAGGGAAGGGAAGGGAAGGGAAGGGAAGGGAAGGGAAGGGAAGGGAAGGGGCTGACACAAACCCCACACCTTTCCACAGCATCAGGTGAGTTGCTGGGCTCAGATGGGTTAGATAGGGCCAGTCCCACCAGCCTTAATATGCTTCTTTTTCAGGGTTGCTTAATATACACAAAAAAATCCATCACAGACTGTTTAGCCACACATGGAAATACATTTCACAGTATTCAGAAAGATTTGGCCCAGTTAATAGCCTGCAACAATGAATATATTGTAAAAACAAGCTGCCTTTAAAATTTGCAGCCGATTTTTAACTTTCATCATTGAAAATCAAGCACTATCCTCTATGTAGATTAGCATTCACCTTCGAGTGCATTTCGTCTGTTTTTTGTGGCTGCCCTTACGTGTCAGCCTGCTCTGCAGGGCACTGATGGCCACAGCACAAGGAGTTTCTTTCTGCATTGTCCACAGTGCACCCTGGGGTTTGTTCTCCTGGCCTGCGTTACTCAGGCACTCCCTTTTTTCTAGGTGGTTTCACAAACTGTGAGCTCTGCAAGCAAAAGCAACATTTTGTCTTCTGTACGAAATGCTCAGATCCTTTTTTTGACCTCTTTCACTGGAGCGTTTTATTCGGTTTGGTAAAATGGTTATTAGAAATGATTCAGTCCCCTCCAGTAGCCTGACTCCATTTACACAGGATGTTGGTGGCCCTGTCTGATTCCTGCCAAAATGAGACTTTCCAGTGGCATCTGTGCAATGCTAATGGGAAAGGCTGAAGCACGTGTTGAATAGAAGAGACACTGGAAAAGCAATTTGGAGCACGCAGGGTTTCAGACCCGTGGAATCAAAGCAGTGAACTGAATTGGTAAGAAAGACATCAACTGTCTGCAAACTTATTTCACAGCCTAGGGCAAATTATCCTGAATTCTGTATAGCCAGCTCATGTCTGTCTGTTTGGGAGACAAAACCATGTCAGGAAGTGAGCATTTTGCACGGAGGGAGATGTAGGTGGTCTGGTAGGATCTCAGCCCCTCCTTGATTGCTAATGTATTAATTGCCATGGCATCATTGCTTCACCTTCCTCAAAGAAGGAGAGTGTAGCTGAGACACAGCCATCCTGGGAGCCACAGCACAGTGATTTTGGGTGGCAGCAAGAAGGCAGACGTTGTTGACTCTTGCATACAGACATGAGAAGGGCTGAATGGCAAACATTGTCCTCCAAAACTCATCTCAATGGGGAGACAGTGGCATTGCACCTGCGTGAGGTCTGTATGAGCTCCCAGGAAGGAAGACAACATTCTGTGAGCCTCCTCTTCCCCTGGCAGGAATGTAAATTCAATGCAGAACTACAGAGAGACTGCCAATTGCTCACCAAAGGCCCAATCCTGCACTCCCCACCACAATATCAGAGTTTTCCGTGAGTAGGAAGGAGAGGAATGAGCTTCAAACGCTCGGGTCCAGCTGCGCATGGGTGGTCTGTTGTGCCTGGATGGATTCCCACTCCCTCCAGCAGAGCTCAGAGGGAGCAAAAGGCTCTTCCTAAATGCACCCCATTGCAGAACCTGGGCTCCACCTCCTTTTTTTGCAGGCTTGGGCAAAAAGGGAAAGCCCCAGCCTCATCACAACACAATGGTTGAATGCATTAATTCTGTAAATCATAAATTGAGGCAATAAGTCACTTAGTATGCCATTCAATGCAGGCAAGAAGCATGCTTTGTGGGAGCGGGTAAACCTGGGGTCCCACACAGAAGCTGGGTATGGGCAGCATTAAACGATATAGTCACGGAGTCAAGACTTTATTTTATTAAAAGCAGCTTGTTTGTTTGTTTGCTTCTTGTTTGTTTTCCTCAGATTGCAAGAAAAGCTGTGCTCTTCCTGCACCCTTGCTTTTTATACAGAAATTCCCAATTTGACCTCAGTCCCCTTTGGAACTGTGGGGGTTCAGGGCCATGTGTTGAGGGCAGACCGTAGTGCTTATTGCTGCAGGAGGAGCTGTGTCAGAAGCTTCCTTTTGGGGCGCTCATTCTTCCCTCCTTTCCCTTCCAGCCCTGCCCTACTAGAAGCCCTGAAACTTCATCACCGCGCTTCGCTTTCACACCTTTTTGTCCCTTCCACGCCGCCGTATCCTGGAGCGGAAGTGGGCGGGGCGAGAAGAGGAACCGCCCCTCGACTGCGCCGCCATGCAGGAGGGCGTGCGGCTGCGCGCGGGTGAGCGGGGCGCGGGCCGAGGGGCGGGGCGCCCTGATGACGTCACTGGGGGGCGACAGTTGGGCGTGAGGGAGGGGGCGGGAAGGCATGGAAGGGTTCCGCTGCGAGGTGCCTGCTCACAACGTGAGCTTTGCCCTTCTTCAGGTGCCTCCAAGGGGGACATCCGGGAGAAGGTGTGGGATTACCTGGAGGCCAGCGGCCTGGCTGAGTTCCCCCGGCCCGTGCATCACCGCATCCCTAATTTCAAGGTACGGAGGCTCGCAGCGTTGCAGTGGTCTCACCAGGCGCAGTCCTGCGGGCTGCGCGGGTGCGGAGCGACGGTAGAGGGTGGCAGAGAGCTGTAAAGCCTCCTCCTGGGTGAGATAAACGCCTTTATGACGGGGAAGGTGTATGAATTTCACGCCCCCAGGCATTTAGCAGGGTGAGGGAGGTGATCCTGCCCTTCTGCTCTGTGCTCAGCTGGAGCACTGCGTCCTGATGTGGAGTCTTCGGTACAGGAGAGACGTGGAGCTGTGTCCGGAGGAAGAGCATGAATGATCTCAGGGTTGGAATATTTTCACTATGAGGACAGGCTGGGAGTTGGGGCTGTTCAGCCTGGAGAAGAGAGGGCTCTGGGGACACCTGAGAGCCGTGTATCTAAAGGGGGCTATGAGAAAGAAGGGAACAGGCTCGTTAGCGGAGGATCTGTAGTTGTAGCACAAGGGTGAACAGCTTCAGACTAAAACAGCTGAGTTTTAGACTGGATATAGGAAAATCTTTTTTACAATAAGGGTAATGAAGCACTGCAGCAGATAGCCCAGAGGTGATGGATTCCCCATCCCTGGAGACATTCATCTAGCTGTAGGTATCCTCATTCATTGCAGAGGAGTTGAGCTAGGTGACCTATAAAGGTCCCTCCAACTCAAATCACATTATGAAAGCTGAGGTTGTGTGTGTTCCAGGGTTCTTCCTGGGAGGATAGAGCACATTGATGTAGGCTCAAAGCACCCTTGTGTCTGCTGTATATTCAAGAAAAGGTGACCAAACTAGCACTGTGGGGTTGTCTACTAAGTGTTTGGGCCCATGAGCAGCACTGGGACATTAGCTTCCCTTTTGCTGAAAGGGCAAAATAGATTTAAGGTAGGAAAAAAAACCCTAAACTGATTAAGGTGTAGAGAAGCACTGTGGCTGAAGTGGGTGGAGGGAGCCTCTATTGCTAGAAGAAATCAGAGGTAAAAACACTCAGTGGGGAGAAAGCGTGCTTTGCAAAGTTCTGGCAGCTCATTTGATTAAGAACTTAATTTTCTGATTTTAATATAGTAAAGAGAGCCTTGTCCAGAAAGTTGTTCATCTAGAAACAACCTGTGGCTTGTCTTTAAAGAAATTTGTATTCATTGACTAAAATGGACAGTTACACTCCAGCTTTGAGACAGGTATGAATGGGAGAGAAATTAGACAAAGGGAGTACCTAGATCCCATTTTTTGGCTGCAGTCTGCAACATATTAGTCAAGTCCTAAGCCTCTGTTGATATTTGTTACTCTCACAGAGAGTATCACAGAATTAGCAGGCACGTCCCTTATATTTAAAATCAGCCTCTGTATGGGATGAAAGGGTAAAAATCTCCCCTCTCTGCTTTGAATTCCTTGGTGATATGCTGCTATCTTATGAAAACAGGGTGCCCCTCATGCTGCGACAAGGCTTCTGGGTTTAGAGGAGTTCAAAGCTGCCAATACTGTAAAAATAAACCCTGATGCTCCCCAGAAGAATGCTCGCTTTCTAACGCTGGAAGTAAGTGAATGCATTCTCTTTTCTTTTGATTCCTGTCTTCAAACAGGGGTCTCATCAGGCTTGCTGCTCTGTTAAAGAGCTTGATGTGTTCAACAGAGCAAGTGAGATCAAAGTGGACCCAGACAAACCTTTGGAAGGTGTTCGGCTAGCTGCGCTGCAGGTAACAGCACTTTTGTGCCCCTGAGAAGGAGAGCCAGGCAACAATGCAGTGCTTGGCAGCACCTCTTGATCAACTCCTCCCAATTTTCCTGTAGGAATTTTACCCATCCTAAGCTTCACAAGGCTGCTCATTAAAGCATGTCTTTGCCTTTTTGGCAAGTGACCAAGGTGCACATGTTGTTTTGGTAAATTAGTATGTTTTTGCGGAGCTGTTTCCTCGTCTTTGTGTTCTAATTCCTAGTCCAAAGCTAACATATCAGGTTAGCCTTGCTGCAGATTGGCTGAGATTCATCACAGGGACAGATGTGCATCAGATTTGTGTATTCACTAGCTTCCTATTATGAGTAACGTATCTATGAACATATGCTTTAGACTAAAACTATGTTCCCACCTTCATTTTTTTTAAATAAAACCATGTCTGAAATTTTGCTGCAGTGAAAAGGGTTCATCTATAACACTGCATGGTCAGCAATGCTAACTGCTCAGAGCAAATCAGACAATTGGCTGCATAGAAATTTATGGGAGAGTAGCGATGTTTCTTTGGTGTAAAATGGACCCAATTCTTTTTAAGGTGGTAACTCCTTTTGTTCCACAGGCAAGGAAAACTCTGTTGGTTCCAACACCCCGTCTGAGGAGTGGGCTGTTCAATAAGATTGTTCCACCTCCAGGTGCAGCTAAGGAGACACTGCGGATATGTGCTACATCTCAGGTAAGAACACAATATAGGCCAAGTCTGAATTAACATCTGGAAGAGTGTTGTGTTACAGTGGTCCAACTAGAAGTTGGAATACCAGATGTTACCTGAAATACTGTTCAACTAATATCTTGTTTCTGGTTTTGTGGTGCATCCACCGTCTGTGATTTTTTGTCAGTACTTAAATCGCAATGCAGTTGTTTTTATTGTTAGTTAATTTTTTAATGAAATGGTATCTATATTTTGTGAATACTTCTTGGAAAGTTACTAGCAGTTTCATAGGTAAAGGTTCCTGGGGTCCTCCTTGCTCCCTTTCTTCTCCTATTTGCAAGAAAGGGAGCAAGGAGAACCCTGGGAACTACAGGCCAGCGAGTCTCACCTCTGTGCCTGGGAAGATTATGAAACATCATCCTGGATGACATGCTGGATCACATGAGGAATGGGCGTGTGATCTGTGACAGCCAGCATGGCTTCACCAGAGAAAGGTCATGCTTGACCAATCTGGTGGCCTTTTATGATGGAATGACAGCATCAGTGGACAAGGGAAAGGCGACCGATGTCATTTACCTGGACTTGAGCAAGGCCTTTGACACGGTTCCCCACCACATCCTTATCTCCAAATTGGAGGGATGTGGATTTGATGGGTGGACCACTTGATGGATAAGAAACTGGTTGAAAGGCCGCAGACAGAAGGTGGTCATCATAGAATCATAGAATGGCCAGTTTTTAGCTGATCTGGTTGATTAAAATATTCAGAGTTAATAAGTGGGAGAGATCAATTATTTTTCAGTCTTAAGTCCAAAGAAATGTTAATTCTGCATTTTGACTCAACTGAAGGACAAGGGGGAATGGTTTTAAACTGAGACAGGGGAGGTTTTGGCTGGATATAGGAGGAAGTTTTTCAGCCAGAGGGTGGTGAGGCACTGGAACAGGTTGCCTAAGGAGGCTGTGGGTGCCCCATCCCTGGAGGCATTTAAAGCCAGGCTGGATGTGGCTCTGGGCAGCCTGGTCTGCTGGTTGGTGACCCTGCACACAGCAGGGGGTTGAAACGAAGTGGTCATTGTGGTCCTTTTCAACCCAGGCCGTTCTATGGAGTACAAAAATAATGTGTACAAAACGGTTTTTTTTGAAATGCAGTATGTTGCTGCCCTCTGCTGTTAAAACGTCAAACTGTGCAGCTGAAGTCATTTGGCAGAGAAACCTGCGTTGTTTTGTGTGCGTCGTTATTTGATGTGAAAATGTAACAGTCTGCAGTTTATCTCCTGCTAACAGCAGTTCTAGAGTAATCCTGTGTACAATGGAGGGTTGTAAATGAATGGTAATTAGTAGCAGTTTCTTTGTTGGAAGGTCTATTAAAGTCATTAACTACTTAAGCTTTTCAGTGTTGAGGAGCATTTTTGAAAGAGACCTTTCTCTTGTTTCAGGCCTCATATCTAAGCTATAATCTTACCTCCATGAGTGTGGGTTTTTTTTTCCCCAGTATGAATAAAAGCTATTAACAGTTTATATTTACAAAGCACTCAGCAAACAGTTCTTACCACACTGCTGTGAAGTGGATAATGAACGTTATTACTGATTGTCATATCAGCATTGCCCATCATTTAGGTTTCAGGATCCAAGCTGGAAACGTTTGGCTCTTTACTGTAAGGATTAACTTAGTACAAGGTTGAATTGGTCTGAGGAGGGTTCATGTTATGTAGCACATGTGTGAATGAAGTACAACACTGTCTTTCATTTATGTGACTCTATTTTTAGTTTTATTAGGATGTCTCCTTTACAGAGGAGCCTGAAGGGATTGAGGGGGCAAAGAGAGTTTAAAAAAAAAAGGTGATAGGATTGTGTGTGTAAGGTACAACTAAAGGTCCCTTCCAACTCAAACAATTCTATGATTCCATGAAGGTTTTTCTTCTCACTTATTAGGAATACATTTGTCTGCTCATTGTTAGTGTTTTAGTTAGGAAATTACTGGTAAGGATAGCTTGACAGTGGCACATTCTAAATATTGATCACACAGCAAAGTGTTGAGGAATGCAGTCTCAGGAAACGTGTTGGGAGATTTGGAATGTGCTTGTAAAGACTTGGGTCTGGAGAGATCAGCAGTGCAGCACATACAGTGTGAAATGGAGAGCATCTGTACCTGGTTGTGCTTCAGTAAAGCATTTTAGGTACAGCTTAACATCTTGAGGCTGCGGCTGTCTGTCCAGATTAACCCTGTGACTTGTTCATGAGAGCTAATTTAAGAACTTGTAGTGCTCTGGTACTGCTCATGGACATAAATTTATGTATTGTGACTTCCAGTTAGTAGTAGTAGGGTAGGAAGTTTCACTTGCCCTCATTTTCAGAAACAGCTGTGGAATCAAGGGTTTCAGACACCAGCTTTTGATCCTAACTACGTAACCTTGCTTAAAAAAGAGTTCACCTCTTTTGACTCTCCCTGAAGCGTGCCAAAATGCTTCACACTGTAGTAGAAAATGTATTCTAGGATTCCCTAGAGGATAGCTTTCCAGCCATCTGCAGCTTGGCTATACATGGAAGAAACACTTTAGAACATGGATAGTTACTTGCATTTATCAACATGCTCCTGCTTTCAACCTCACTGGCTAGAAGTCTGCATTCTGTGAACCTAAAATTATCTTTTTCTTGCAGGGCATAAAAGAGTACAGTGTGCCTGTAGGTCTTGATGGGAAAGCACGAGTGGACTTGGTTGTTGTAGGATCAGTGGCTGTCTCTGAAAAAGGTAAGATAAAGTCTTGTAAGCTTTGCAGGAGGAGGCTATGAGATTCACAATGTCAGTAGGTTATATCTACTTTCTGGTGGACCCCAAAATCTCACTGGATGTTAATTACGGTCTTGAGTTCTGTCTTTTTCTTCCTGGTTGGACTGGGTCACACAGAGTCAATGTCAATGGACAGCAGCATGGTTTAGAGCATGTAGGCCACTATTTTGGCCTCCAGTGAAATTAGAAACTATGATGTTTTGGTTACTCACACCTTTTGCTTCATGCACTTTAGGTTGGAGAATTGGAAAAGGAGAAGGTTATGCAGACATGGAATATGCAATGATGGTGTCAATGGGAGCAGTGACAGAGGACACACCTGTAATTACTATCGTGCATGACTGCCAGGTAAGTTAAAATATCCACTCTTAAATGACAGATTGGAACTGTGGGTGACCTGGTCTAGTATTAAATGGGGAGGTTGGTGACCCTGCCTGTGGCAGGGGGGTTAGAGATTCATGATCCTTGAGGTCCTTTCCAACCCGGGCCATTCTGTGATTCTGTGAATGGTGCATATGAAAGAGAGATTTGGAATTATTTTGGTGTAGCACTTACATTCTGTTTCCACTGTCACTAACAGATTTTTGTATGTTAAAAGATAGCAGGATTATGTGTAATTTAATGAATCTGGTTTTAACAAATCTCTTGTTTCTTGTAGGTAGTTGACATAGCAGAAGAGCTCCTTGGTGACCATGATTTAACTGTGGATTATATACTCACACCAACAAGAACTATCAAGACTAATTGCAAACGACCAAAACCACGTGGAATACTATGGCATAAGGCAAGTTACCTCTGCTACCAACATTCTATTGATAAGTCCCTCATTTTTTTTTTTTAATTCCTTAGGGGAAATTACATATAAAGACTTCTAGTGATTTAGAGATACTTGTAAGAATTGCAAATGTGGTGGTAAGATGAAACAAAAAAACAACATGTTGAGTGGCTTCTGAATGGTCTTAATGATGAGAAGTGTATTCCTGAAGCTGGAATTATTTTGTCAAATGAGTTATAGGAGGAGAGTCACTGGTGTGATTTTTAAAACAGATATCTCTTACAGTTGTTTGCAGTATGGTAGCATACATAGCTGAGAGACTTCCACTCCTTAGGTATTGTGTTCCTCAGTGCTGTGTAAAATTGGCCGTGTTCAATTTCTGGAGGCAGGGATGGCTTTATGGCATTAGACAGTGAGGGAAACAGCAGAATATGTGCTGCTCTGGTTGTAAAATAAAAGCATGGCTTGTAGTGGCTGGCACAGTGCTGTTTACATAATGAATGTCTGGAGTTGGCTTCCAAGGGATAGATGAATTTGTGTCTGAAGCTTATTTTCAGGTGGAAGAACAGTGACTTGATACCACTTCAAATCACATATCAGTATTTACTGATAATCACTGTATTGTGTTGTGGGTTTCTTGCTTTTTGTTTGTTTGTTTTTTTCCCAGAGATTGGCAGAAACTTCAGCAGTTTCACAAATGGTTTCAGAAAAGCATTTCCTAAATTATTCCACTGTAAATTTATGATGGGGAAAACATTTTCTTTGTCATTAGATTTTCATTTCAGAAATCATCTGGTTAGGGAACAGACCCAATCCTTCCTGATTGGGTAAGATGATGAATAGTATGCCCTTATTTTGCAGAAACCACTCAGGAAACGTTAGTGAATGATTTTAGGGCAATCATTTGTTGGTTAGCAAGCGTTTAACAAAGTAAAAAGAGTTAAATTTGTTAAGGTGGCATATCTACAACAATCAATTGTAGCCAAGACTATTTTTACTCCTATGGTGGGAGAGTATTTTACCCTGACTGTGATTGAGGACTCGAGGTTAAAATCAATTAAATAAACAAATGTAAGCTTCTTCTACACCAATGCATTTTTTCCATTGAATTATTTTTGAATCATAATTTTTTAGGATGTTGTTGAATGTAATTGTTTTCAAGGCCTACCCCTTGTGCTCTATCCAACATGGATGGAGTTGCCAACATACTTTTGATTGTAGCCTTTCTTGGTGTCAGAGGAGCCTCAGTAAGTGGCCTTGCTGATGTTTTTATTTTCCCCTGTCTCCTTGCCTTTGCTAGTGACATTTTTTAAAGGCCTGGGGATCAGCCTCTTGCACTGGCCCTTGAATCATTGTGTAGTTTTTGCTAGTGGAAAGTCAGGTCAGTCCCCAAGCAATGTATCAAATTCAGCACTACTCTAGCATTTCTTCTTCCCTTTGCAGAGAAAATGTCAAGATCAGTGTTACCATATATTACTCAAAAGCTTACAAAATATTTGTTGCAACTCCTTTGGGCTTGTATCTGAAGCTTGAGGAGCTGCTTGGCAGAGCTGTGTCTAAAATTAGTGGTGGTGTCTAAAGAATACAGCTCTCTGGATTTGATCCAGCTTTCACTATGAACAGCACACTTTACACAACTGAACTTTAAGGAAAAAAAAAAGATGCTGAGTGCTAATTTAACACAAAACAGCTTTTGGCTGCTCTTCAGAGCTGGTGTTGATTAGATAAAAAATACTGGAGAATAGTAGAGTGGGGATAATTGTAATGGTTCTGTTGTTCTGGGATGAGAACGCCTGTCTTGTTTGTGTGAAGAAAGAATCTAGCATTTTTCTTGCACAGAGAGCTGAACAGCTTGCATACATCTTGTTTGTGGTTGTGGAGATAACCATGTTCAGTTCTTGCACAGAGAATCCTGGAGGTGGGAGGTCTAAGCAATTGTCAGGGTGTTAAAAATGTAGGATCTGATTGTGGCTATTTAAGTGTTTGTCCATCAGATTTTCCTGGATGCTTCTACCTCATTTTCTCATCCTTTTCTCTACATCCTTTTCTCCTTTAAATCCTGGCTTTGCTGTTGTATTCCTGTTTCTCTCAGCAAAACTAAATGAACCTAGAGGTAGTGAGCAAATAAATACCTCACTTCTGAATATGGTGTTTTGTCAACATAAAGCAGCTAAACTGCTCTAAGAGGTTGATGTGTAAAATGCCTTGCAAAAACAAACGAATCCTTCACTGGATCAGGCCAAGACAATGACTTAGGAACTGAATTAAAGGTGTTTGCAAACATGGGATTACTGCTAAGCATTGTTGCAAAGAGTGTCCTTTTCTGAAGCTGTTAGGATAAATAGCCATTAATAGGTATGCTCTGTTTTCTGTTCACAAAGAGGTAAAAGAGTACTTGCATCTGCACATCTCCAGGCTAAATTTCTGTATTCAGAGATGTGTCTCTTGGAGTGTTTTTTTGCTCATTATATGCTATGTAGGAAGGAAGTAGTGTGTCAAGAATGGGAACAGGTGCAAAAAAACCCAACAACACATACTGTGATTTCTGTCATAGAAATGTTAACTTTTTTAAAAGGAAGTATAAGAGCTGCAATACTATTACCAAAGAAACATTACCAAAATAAGTGTTAGACACTCTAAAAGCACATCTGAATACAAAGGCAACACTGGAGTGTTTATACAGGTAAGTTTTCTGCACTGAAATTGAGGTTTTTGAAAACTCAGTACTCTTGGAGGACAGTAAGAGCTGCTAAGAGCTGAGAACTCTGGAAAACTTTATTTGGATGCCAGTGGAGAGTTATTTGGCTTCATCTTTCTTGAAAATCTGACCCATTGTTTCTGGGAACTCTAAATCCGTGAAACTACTTTCTCATTTAGTATTTTGTATGGGGAACTCTGATCTTTATCTGTGACACTGTCAGTTATGTTTGTCACAATTACGAAGTTATTTGTGCAGTGCTTATTTTAAATTGAAGCTATATAGACCAATTAAAATACTTGGGGTCAGAAGGAGGGAAATGAGAGAAGTTGGTGGAAAAATCACTGCGTTCCAGCAAGCATTTCCTTCAGTTTGTTTTTTTTAATCATATTTTTACTGAGAATTTTATAGAAGTAGGAGAAGATGTTTCCAAAGTGATGTCTCCAAAACTGGGAGAATCCCTGGATCTAATGTTTAGTGTGCAGTAGCAGGGAGACACTGACAACAAACAGCTTTTGATTTGGGTCTGTGATAGAATATTTGGAAAGTCAAATAAGCTCTGTCAGAGCTTCACACATAAGCTGGCAAAACCTTTAGCAGGGACGCTGTTGCCATCTGAAGAAAATTACTGTCAGTTTGGCCAAAGTTGTTTTGTTGTTTTGGTTTTGGCAGTGTTTTTTGGGGGGAGGGAGGAGAAAACATGAGCGGGGTGGGCTTCCATGCATGGTTAGACTTCTCAACACCTTTGCAAATCTAACCCTTGCTGCAGAGTCCATGGAATCAGTTTTTGCTGATGAATTCCAAATGTGGGTTTCATAAGTTTCTCCTGAGGGACACTAGCAGACTTCATGGGCTGCCAGCTCCCAGAAATATGCCCTTGGATTGCGTGCACATATTTGGACATTTTGTGCAAATGAATGATAAAATGTTCAACTGTGTTGGCCCGTCCTAGCTCTCTTGGCTTTGTCCATGCTTTAAGCCCCTGTGAGTAGAGTGCTTCTTGAAACAAGCAACTGATTAAGGAGACAACATGAGATTTGGGCTCTATCCTGGAGGCATTTCTGAGGAGCCTAGGGTCAGACCACCCTCAGAGTGGGCAGAGATGAATCTTCCAAATGCCCCTGGCCTTCCAGCCTCAGTATTTGGAAGGGCTCATGGGTCTTCTCTACTAAATATTGTTTGGTTTTGTTCTCAGCTTTCCGTGGCTGTATCCATTTTGTGCCACGTGTTCCTGCATCAGCTGGTGTACCCAGGTGGGTAGCTATGTGAAATAGAATCAAACAGCAGACCAAGCACCCTCTCTGGTCTGTAGCTGTCCTTTCCTCATCTGAGGTACATCAGAACTGTGCCGCCTCTGTTGCCAGGGAAATCAAAGTGGTGTTTGGCTTGGCCTGCACTGTATCAGGGGTCAGCATTATTCATTCTGTCAGAGGGCAAACACATCTTTCATTTTTTCCAGCAAAGAAGTGAAAGTGTCTGCATTCATTCTTCTGGAATAACAGAGGTTGAAGAGAGCCCCGATGTTCCAGCAGTGACATTGCAGAAGCTCTGTTGTTCTGTGACCAAACTAGGTGCCATGAGAGTGGATGCTCAGGGTTAAATGCTGGGAGATTTTTATTGGCAGGCAGCATCCCAGACTCTGTTTTCTTCAGGTTTCTGTCAGAGAGGGGCCACATTTCCCTTCTCAGCTCCTTTCCCATAGCCTGGTAATTGTGTGCCAGAAGAATTCATCTACCCTGCTGTCCTCTTTCCCCAAGGCTCTCTCAGCCATGGCAGGGAATAGGCAGGATTGTTAAATGATTAATTGCCTTTGGTGGAGTTATTTTTAACCTGAATCACTTCAGTTACAGAGTTTGTACTGCAGACCCACAAGCATTTCTCTTGTCCAACCCCAGAAGACTGAAGTGTGGAAGTGGCCTGGGAATTGGTGGTCAAGGGATAATAGGAAACTTCTTCAGCTGGCTTCATTGCCAAAGCCAATCATTTAACTAACTCCCAACACTCAATACAAAGTTTACAAACATCAATAAATGGTTTGGCCCTGACTTTACTGGGATGTGGGGAGCAAGGGAAGAGGCTTCAGCCACTGGAGTTGCCCAGTTCCGTATAATGGGACTAAGATGACTTACTGGAGGCAGAACCCAAGGCCCTTGCAACCTGGCTTGGCCTTAAGTGCTAAAGGAGGCTAGGGAGGAGTGACCAGCCGGCACAGCACCAAGAAACGTGCAGCTTGTTTGAAAGAGAGGAGGAATATCTTTGGACTCTCTCCACTTGGATATAAATCATTGCAGACCTCCACATCTCACAAGACAAAAGAGACTTTTTGCATGGTCGTAATTAGCAACACATTGTACTACCACAAAGGCGTTCTTTTGCTTGGTGTTTTGCAAGAGAGCAGAGCAAGCTTAGTCCCTTCCTATGCCACCCACTGCCCCTTTTGCTTCTCACCCCTTGCACCCCAAAAAGTGTGGTGAACTGGTTTCTTGAATTGATGCTCTGAGTACCTAAACTGAGTTTCTGCCTTTCTTTGATTTAAAAAAAAAAAAAAGAGGCAAAAAATAGGGCAAAAAATAGGGAAATATTTGAGAGCTTTCATCCAGCTGAAAGTTTCTCCTAGACCCTAGCCTTAAGGTAAATACTGTGTCATTCTTCTGTGGCAGAAGGATGTCAGTTGATGATGTCCAGTTGCAAGGATGTCAATTTTTTTTTTTTTTTTCCCCCAGAATGTTTTTATTGCAAATAAAATTAAGTACCAAATCAACTGCCTTTGTTGCAACAGTATTGTAGAGTCTTCTTAGTGGTATCCCTACAAAGGGCTGAATTTCAGGTAATGATGGGTTCCACTCATGGTGTTATTTATGATCAGAGCTTCAGCTTTATAAAAATTAGTTTGTAGTCTTTCTCAAGCCATATATAGTATAGCAATTGCATCTTCCCCAGTTTGCAGGGATCATGAAACAGGAGTTCCAGTTGGGTGCCAAAAAGTGCTAGCCTCTCCAGTGAGAGGAGAAAGTATTCTGGCCATTGGATTGTTTAAATCTTCAATCTGTCCTTGAAAGACTGGAAGTTCCAGGCTGATTCTCTGAATGCCCTACTCATCAATTCTCTTAATCTACAAAGTAGTGAGATTTTGCTCTCCATCCTCCTAGCTGAACACCCAGTCTGTCCTTAGGAACTGAATTTAATTTCAGGATGAAAGGAACTGTGCATACACTTGGTAATAGGTGAAGATTGTGCTTTGGGCCCAGGAGTTATTAGCTACATGAGAATAATGTTTTTCCTGTTTTGCTTTAATTAGCATAGAGCTTACATTTTGCATAGAAATTTGACAGAGGATAGCAAATGTTCCTAATTGTTGGCCAGTAAAAACAGTAAGATGGCTTCAGCCATTGGTTTGTTGTTGTATTGCCCAGGGAAAGGGATTTTGCTGTCAAACCCAGCAACCTGAATTATTGGGTGAGAAAAACAAATTAGTCCAGGAATCCATAGAGCAATAGGTCTTCAAAATGTGAAAATGCCATGTAGCTTTCAGAGTCACCCAAAGCCCCAGAGGAAGTCCTTGCCTCTACTGGCTGCAAGATTTGTACAGAAATTTTCAGTCATAGTTTATGTGTTTAAAGGGCCTGATCCCACACACCTTGACTCTGGGTCTGCTCTATGGCAGAACAGAGGTGGCCTCTGCCCATGTTCGTTAGCCATGTTCTGTTTGATCTTATATTAACGAGGCTGAAGGTTAGGCTGGGCTGTACGTAAGCTTGGCTTTTTATTTCAGCCCGAAGTAAAGTTTGCTTGTTTGCTTCACAGAATAGGAAACCTGCCTGACTGTATTACAGAAGCAGGAATTCAGGGGCTCTAAGCTGAGATCTGCAGGTATGTTCTAGCCAGGATATGCCAGTGCCAGCCCAGGACAGCCTGCTGAGGTCATGGCTCCTAAGCTTTGATGCAGTATCCTGTGAGAGTGGCTTGCTCACACTGTGTGGGCTATTAGCTTGGGTCTCTGCTAGCTCATGCATCTCTTCCCCAGGCTCTGTTTTGCTCCCTAAATTTAAGAATTGGATCCTGTGTTGATGGATGTTCTGCTTGTCCAGCAGCCAAGTACGAATTATTGCTACTTCCAACTGCAGTCTGCAAGCCAAGAGCTAGACCACATTAGCAAGGGAACCACTGTGTTTCCTGCCAGTCGCTGAGCACAGCCTGGGGCATCTCATGCCTGAGATGGATAGGGTTCAGCTGTTGAGAGGAAGAGCCCTTCCAGAGAAGCTGCTTATGAACTGGGGCTGGATGAAGGGAGAGAGGGTTCACGGGTTTAAAGCACAGTGTTCGGGTGCTCTTCAGTTCTGTGATCCAACCCAGCAGACTGCTGTAGGATCCACTGAGTGGCTGCGGGTGGTGTGTGGTGTCAGATGGTAGGAGGGAGGGCTGTGGTGATGTTCCACAACCAGAGAACGTGCCTCCAGCTGGGCCCACACTCGTAGGAGCCCCACTGCAAGGCACGCTCCCCAGCTGCAAGCTAACACCGTGATCCCTCCCCATTGTATGACCAAACCTACGGGATATCCTGTTTTCAGGGGTAAAGAAAGCAAGGAGGTCTGCAGAATGAAAGTGCCTCATGGTCTGATGAATTGTAGGCATGTGAGGCTTTGCCAGTGCAGGAGCACAGGGCCTTGGTCAAAGTAAAACTTAAGGGATAACAATGAGAATGCAAATCTGAAAGGGCCCTGATAAATAAATGTCAAAATCAACCAGCTCTGAGTTTGGTTTTGATTTTCCTGCTGGTTGTACTTGCTTAAAGAGTAACTAATGTTTATTTTTGTCCTGCAGTGTGTATTTAGGGAGCAACTTCACAATCCGGCCAACAATTAGTAACGTTTTGAATGCTCTGGCACTCTGAATGGCAGCAATATAATAAAGTTCCTCTCTTTTTATGGTACGAATGTGTCCTGATGGTCATCTTTTTCTGGAAGAAGAAAAATACTCATAATTATGTCTGTCTTCCTCCATTTTTAGGTCAGCTATGAGATGCTGGGAAAAATCCCCATCCTTAAGAGTCTTCGGTACAAAGAGAAGCAGGCAGGCAAGGATGTTACCCTCCAAGATGAGCAGCCAGACTTGGCAAACGCCAGCAAGTCAGCAGCGTTAAATGAGAAGGCAATGGCTGGAAAAACAAGACCACAGGCTTCAATGGGCTCAGCTCAAACAGGACAACAGTATGTTGAAAGTGATTCTTTAAGTCCCAGATTAGAGGGATCTGGCACGATTACTACTGTGTATGTGGGGAACATACCTCCCAACCTAAGAGTGAGCGAGCTGAAATGTGCTTTAAGGGAATTCCATGCAGCTCCTTTACGAGTGAATTGGCAGGGAGCACAGCACAGGGCTTTTCTCGATTACAAGGATAAAGCAACCGCAGAGAGTGCTGTATCCTCTTTGAAAGGCTTGAGCCTCGGGGGTAATACTTTGCGAGTTGAGCTGGCCAAGAATCAGAGAAACAAAGGGCAAGTAGAAATCAATAGTCAGAAATGAATATGAATAGAGGAAAGAGAAAAAAAACAAAGGCGTGTTTTTATTGTTTTGCAAGAAGCAGACCTAAGTTTTCAAGGTTATTAGTATATGCTGTGGTCTCCACAGGCTAGACAACAAAAGGCAAAGCCATATATTTGAATAAAGCAGGCATACATCTCATAGATGACTTGCCCACCTCATTCCTGCAGTTGTATGTGCAAAGTGTATTTGTCAAGATAGATGACAGAGGAGCCTTTTCTCTAAATGGTTATCCACAAAGTAACCACGCTCTGTGTATTTGTTTTTCATTGGCCTTGGGGTGATTTGCTTTTCAGTGTACATCTGTTAGGCCTGGATCAAAAACTTGCCCTTTGGTAGCTGCGTGCAGCCACATGGAGGGAGGTGGTTGTGTTCTGTCATCTGCAGATTGTACCTGCGGATTTGTACTTGTGAGCTTTAAAGCCAGCTGCAAAAAATCTGTCTTAGGGTTTGCGCTTATGTTTACTAAGAAACAGGGCTTGCCTCTTGGGAATTTTCAGTATATTTTTCATTAAAATGAAGAAGGAGGGCTTGGCCTTTTTGTGCTCTTTAAGAACTGCTGTAAAAACACTGCCTCAGCCCCTGAGTTCTAGTTGTAGCTATTAGGATCAGATGGATGAGCAGGTAACTTCCAACTCAGGTTTGATCTGTTAATTCAACCCTGTGTAAAAACATCAGTCTGGGAGAGGAAAGCAGATACCAGCTTTCTCCCTAAGCACTTCAGGTGCCTTTTTCATGGATGATGTAGATGATTATAAAACAGATGTTTTTCCTGATTGTCTTGTTTCTTATAACATGGTGTGATTCCATTACCTCTGTGAAATTACATTAATTAGATAATCATTCTAGTGGAAATAAAAAGCAGCCAAAAGATGGTCAAAACCTGTTGGCTTTTATTATATCTTTTTTTTTTTTCAGTTCCCTATCCCTGAAAAACAAGTTAAATTTTGGCTGAACCATCCTTTCTAAACAGGAGCACTTTTGCCATTGGTGCTGGGCACGTAGTCAAAGTAAGCATCCAAACTGATTTTTCTTAAACTTGGAAACTTTTTTTAGCCAGAGGGTACCGTTATGTGTATTTTAAGTATGTTATTATGCCTCAGGGTCAGATATTTTGTACAGTATTCAACAAATTCTCAGTGTTATCATGTGCTCTGTGCAGATGGTCTCAAGGAAAGCACTGCTCCAACTTCTTGTAAGGTCAGCAAAGGAGAAGTTTCTGAAGAAATAGCGCTGTGCTCTTAAATGCTCTCTTTTCCTCCAGCTCAAGATTATTTTTGGTATCATTTAGCCTGAAATCAAATGTAATCACTACAGAGGCCCCTGCATCTTGTTTCAGTAGTCGTGTGCTTCAAGGATAAGATTCAGGAGTCATGTTACTACTTAAAGACACTCATTACATCATTATCTTAGAAAGCAGAGGAAAGAAAAGCAAAAAATAATCATACATCACAGCCTCCCCCTTCATAGGATGGCAAATTAAGAAGAGGGATCATATGATGTTCTTTTTTACTCTTGTAATACCACTTGCTTTGGTGAAGATGCTGAGATGACCTTAGCAGTTAAAAAACATTATCCCACCAATGCAAACTTCAATCATCTCAAACATCTTCATGTATATTACAGATTGAACTAGCCTTCCCTGGTCACGTTTGTGGGAAATCCATCTTCTGCCTTGTTTCCTCTTATTAATGACCAAAGTTTTGACGCAGATAAGATTAAGCACTTTTGATCACTTAGGGTTTTGTTAGGGAAAAATAATGTTGTTTTTTTTTTTGTTTTTACTTTTAACTAAGGCAAAGAAGTCAAAAGAAATGTATAAGTGGCAAGTACTTTGTATTCATACTTGGAGGCACTCCTAAGAATTCTTTTATGCTAACCTTGGCCGTCAGTTTTTTGTTTGCTGGAAGCCACAACACAGAGCTCAATGTCAGCTGACCTCCAAAAGTAATGAAACAGAAAAAAATCACAATGGTTTTCTCTGTATTTTGATAGTAAAAGCTTATATGCTGGGGGTGTTAGATGTATTTGCTTTCCTGTTAACACTGTATGCAGTCAGTGGCCAGTTTTGTCTGGACAAAAATATCTAGATAGAGCTTTTTTCAGATGACTCTTCTCTTTGCAGTTGTGGCTGTGTGCAACCTGTAGCATGAGCTGTTTTAGACTGCTCTGCATGTAGCTGATTCTCTGTAGTTATCTTCTGGCCTCTCACTTTTTTGAATGCAGTTGACAATCCAAACCACACTACTGGAAAGGTGTTAACCAGACAGAGGTATGTAACTGTAATTAGACTCTGAGGAGAAAAGTAATTACTATAAGCTTAGGCTAATGAACCGTTCATTAGCGTTTTGAATCGACTGGAATAATGTTAATGCAATGATAATTTCCAAGTTGAGCAGTCATTTTTGATCCAAGTTGTTAATGAATTGCAAGATCATTTGGGCATCAGCAAATCAGTAGTAACTGTGCTGTGAACAAGGTCATTTCTGTCGTCTGCTGCAAGAGCAACAACTTACAGGAAGAAATTAGTACAGGAAGCTGCTGAAAAGAGCCTGGAGCTACAGAAAGTTCACCAAGGTTCAGAGCACCTGCAGAGGTTTATAGTTTGCATGATGGTAAGCAGTAGTCCTCTGACATAGGAAGGCTTAGCTTCCCCACATTCCTGCTGTTTTAGGGTGCCTCCTTACTTTCACAAGGGTTTTCTCCTGGCAAAAGTGGCTGAAGCATATAATCTCTCCACTTTGGAGATGAAAAAACATAGGGAGTCCTATCCCATCTGTGCACTGCTATAGGATTCCCACAGTTGAAAACAAGAAGTGATTTTGTAGGAACTTAAGTACTTATATTCTGCAATGAAAAGGAAAAAAAAGAAGCAGCATAACTTGCAGCAAAGCTGTTCTATAAGCTTACCTGTGAGAAATTGGGTGTATCTCATGCTTTCTGAAATGTGTTATGAATTAACACAGTTGGTAGGAGTTTGACCTTGTGCATGCTGAAGTCTGTGTGATCTCTGTCTTGAAGCAAGAGAAGCTGTGTTAAGAATGAGGCTCTTACCACTGCTTAGGAAGCTGGTCTTCTTTAGCTAAGTGACATTTCAATGCAAGATGCTAAATTGCTGTTTAATTAAGTAATACAAGACGCACGCCTACATGACTTTCTGGCATCTCCAACTGTATGATGTGGATTTTTTCTTCCAGGCTGACCAAGTTCCTGCTTGGGTAGGCAGCAGATTTTGAAGCAAGAGTGAATGGGGCAGTTTGCATCTCTTAGGTCTATTGTTTCAGGCTCTGCATTCTCAGGAAGACATCAGTTTTACATGAGTCACTTCTGACTTTTCTCTCAATCCACAAAACTCTGAAATGTAATACTTTTCAGTGAATCCTTGGACTCTGATCTCATAATGAAACTCGAGGAACTGAAGTCTGCTTATTTTTTACTTTGGCCCAGATCAAGACTGTGCAAGATATTTTACTAACAATCAAGCCACGAAGTTCATGTCCTAATGGATTTACTGCCTGAATTAACAAGCTTTAAAGATGAGAACCTTTACTAAAGCAGTAATTCTTCATTTTCTGCCAGTTGTGGTTGTGGCCCTGCTGTTAGCACCTAGGATGGCTACAAAGACGTGGATATGTCGCCTCATTTCAGGTGCCTACCAATGCACACAGCCCTTCTTTATTGCAGTGACTGAAGAACTAATCTGGAACTTCCAGAGCTTCAATGCTTCAGCCCTGTTCTCTGTAAACACCCAGAGCAATGGTGAAAATGTACCTCTTACCAATTAACCCCCATTCTCTTTCTGTACGAAGGGTTGAGGGATCTTCATATTTTAAGACACTCATGCTAAAAACATCCACAGTGAGAAAGAAGTGCCTAGATGTTGCATAAAATTCTAAAACGCCTTTGATTAATGGATAGTCTGCATTCAATAGGAAATGAAGTGATCCCTAACGCAGACAGATTTTAGCCCATTTGCAGCAACAGCAGAAGAGCCTGTGTTTCACTGCTGTGCGATGAGAAGAAAAGTTCAGCAGTACAATGGGAAATACTTTACTGAGCCAACTTTGTTCAGAAGTAATTAAAAATGAGGTCTTTCTATTCTCTCTGCAGCCTGATGTCCTCACTTGTCATGTGGTTCAATGCATTCTTTCCAGTTCCTTTCATGGCACAAAACAAGTTAGGATGTCATTATTGCATGCCCCTCTCTTCAAGGGTTCAGTGGGGAAAGATGCTGAACAGCTCCGGAGGCTGGCTGCAGTGAGCAAACCCAGCCCATCTTCTATGGCAGCTGAGAGGGTGCAGAGCCTGGCAACGACCACCCTAGGTGCTATATGAACTTCCCAAAATGATTCTACCCCCTCTGTTCGTCCTTTTCTATCCTAACTTACAGGAGAGATGCAAAGAGAGAACGCTATCAGATGGATGGAGCCTCTACCAGATCCATTAGGCTTGAGAACGTGGTCAGTTTGGAGGGGATTTTCTTCTGCTGAATGATATTAGTCACAGCGTGGTGTGTGGCACAGAGCAGTGAGGCAACATCGTGATCTGCTAACAATAAAAACGAGGTGGCTAACTGCCACTCAGCACTGAAAACTATACAGTCATGAGGGTTTTCCTTCAGACAGCTATGTCCATGCATTTCCTGGAACGTGGACAAGGCCACACAGCTTCAATCCACCAAAGACAACAGTGAGTAAACAAGCCATGTTGCTGTGTAGTCTTCTCTAAGTGACAAGAGTCAGTGATTATTTGTTTCCATGGAGAGAACAAGGGAAAAAAAAAAATATCTCAACGTCAGAGTGGGAAGAGAGCAAAGCCTGCTCCTATGTGACACAGCCAGGTCCCCATCCAGCCCTCCAGCACCCATTCACATCAGGCCCTTGTTCCCTCACAGGAAGCAGTCTTTAAGGACATATGATTTAGCTCATTATCTATCATCAGAGGCCAGTAAAATAAAGGGGGTGGTTAAATACTGGCTTCGAGTCATGTCTTTTTTTTTTTTTTTCCTTTTTAATTTCATCTTCCAGCACTTCAAAGGAAGAAACAAACGTTTTTTAGGAGAATGCTTTCATTGAAAGTCAGTCACTGCATTTTTCTCTTCAACGACAGCAAAGGGTGAGGAGGGGAAGGAAAAGCATGTGCTGAGATTTCTCTCATTCCGGTTCCTTAGAAGGAACAGCCCCATGCAGCAGTTCTGGCTCTGGAGGAAACATCTGTGACTGTGGCCATGTCAGCCAGGCAAACATACCCCTTGGTGAGGTAGGTGCTTGTGTATGAATGCCTCTGTTTCCTCGTTGCCATCTATTAAAGATTATCTCTCTATGAGAAGAGTGCACCATTTCCCATGTTTTCATGTGTAATGCCTGTGATGTCTGCTATAAACATCATGAAAAATTTCTCTGCCCCTCCACTTGCATAGGTATATAAAAGTCACTGCTTTTCATCTTTTAAAGCACAGCAGCAATGTTTAGGGCTGTGTATCCTGCCATTGTTCTGGGCTGGGCATCTCACTGAAGTCACTGGGAGAAATGAGTTCAGGATACAGACCTATCTAGTGCATCTTTACAGCGGCCCCAGTAACATCCACGTTTTACAGATGGAAAAATGAGGAAGGCAGAGTTAGCTCCTGTTAGACTGCTAATTCCCAGCGCTTTGGGAAACAGCTGGAAAGACAGGTTAGAAGCCCATCAACTGCTTGCTTTTCAAATAAGTAAGTAAAAACACAGCACGGTGGCCTTTTTTATGTGATGGATGGGCACCTTGTTTCATCCCAGCATCTTCTTTCTTCCCAGCAGAGCTGCAGCATTGCCATCTCTGCCTCCACTCGGCTGCTGGAGCCACCAGGTAGCCCTGCTGTGACTGGCTATTGTGTGATCCCACAGCTCCTCTTGCTCCTCCAGAGCCTTCTAGTCAGTCAAAGCACACCTGCAACCCTCTCTCCATTCCAAGGGTGCAAATCACAGCTCTCTTTCCTTGTGAAACCAGACAGGGGATGGAAAATAATGACTTTTTCTAAGACGTGCCTCCTCCTGAAGTCTAGCAAATCATGCAAGCCTGTTGTGGTCCACCCATCCCATGCAGAAACACGTGGAGCTAAAAGTATGGGGTTTTTTTAAGGAATAAAGCAAACATTCAGGACGGTGAGATGAGAGGGAAAGAAAAAGGTCAGGGAGGGAAGGGAAACATTCATTAAACGTTGCAAAAACCTCAACATTTCTCAGCATTAGTGTATCCGCTGCAGCCACTCCTTAGTATTTTTGAGCAATCTGTTAAAGTTAATCATTCAGACAAGAGTAATACTTGCAGTTTTTCCAGAGGGATAGATATCATGTTTTCAGAGTGTTTCCAGGCACTTATGCTGCTCAGATTCCAAAGGTTGGCATTTTCATCTCTCTGAAGGAAGCAATTACCGCAGTAGTTGATCTGCAGTATCTTTTCTACCATACAGAAACACAATTGCTGTAGCAAGTCTGGCTTCAAGTGAACTCTTGGTACTTTTAAGTCCCTGCAAAACTTTCCAGGCTCTGACATCTTGCTTTTCCAGGTGTGTTTGCTTATTTTTTCAGTAATTAGCCTGAAGTTGAGCTAAGCCACAGAACTGCACTTTCTGTACCATTCCGGGTCTTTCAACTCCTGCTGCCACAAATAAAGAAATAACTATGTTCAGTGTAAGAGATACTTAAGTGTGGAAGCACTGCCAGTGTCCACGCATCTCATTCTGTGATCAAGCAGATTTGATCATGATTTGGTCTCTAGAATGGATGTTTGCTCTGATACATGTGCCTGTAGCAGTATGTGAAGCTGATATGTGAACCTGCAGGTGTCTAAGAAAAGGAGATTGATGTTTATCCTAATGATGAGGAATTGGTCTCAAAAAGCCTTTTATAAGCATGTGCAAATAGACAGCCCTGCATCCCAGAATGTCAATAATGGGGTTTATTCCCTGTTATCTTTCCTTAATAATCTTCTGATTTTAGCTGCTTACTGGGCAGGATGGATACTGGCAATGGATTTGCTGCCTGCCTCTCCTCACTTCCTGGGCCAATCTGATAATTTTGTCTGTAAAAAGCATCAGCTCATGATTGAGGAGCTGCTGGCACTCTGTGCATCTCCTGCTCATTGTGGGGATCTCCTTCAGCCAGTCACCTGTATCAGTTATTATGTCCCTGAATGTGACTCCCACTGACAAAGATTTCTTGGCACAAATGTGCGAATGCCAAGCTTGTACAAACCACCCTAGCACTCTTTTCCTGCAGAGCCTGGTGTCAGTTCTGCTTCTAAGAATGCATGGAAAGTGAATAAATGTTGAAATCTGGCCTTCTAAAAGCCTGTGGTCATCCCAAAGAAGTCAAACTCCCCTTTTCAAAAGCTGTGACCCAGATCCATCAAAGCCCAAAGCTTCTTGGATTCAACAGAGAAGTCAAGCACCCAGTGTAAGCCTTCCCCTGCTGAGAAATATGGACCAAACTCAGCACTTGGCCTTCCAAATACCCATTTCAGATTCAGAGGATCTAATTTCCACCAGTGAAGTCTCCCAAAGTACTTGGTTTTTCTTCTAGTCTGAGTGACCACCCCTGCCCAAAAACGTCATGTAACTGTACCAGGAGTATTTGTGGGATACTGGATGCTACCCCACAGCCTGTGTCCCCATCTTGGTACAGAACAGACCTGATCCAGAAGCATCCCATGAAGGAGGTCTGTTGGTGATGGGGCACATCAGACATTTCAACACTAAATCTGAGATGCACTAAAAGTCTCCTTTCACCTTCAGACTTCTAGATGCCGGAAAGGAAAATAAGAAGAAAGAAAGAAAAGAAAAAAAAAAAAAAAAAAGAAGGAAGGAAATAATAAAAAAAAAAGGGGGGACCGAGGGGGGGGGGAACAGAAACCTCCCAAAGCAGCCGGGTTCACAGCCACTGCTGGGGAAAACCCCTCCGATTCGGGGCGCGGTGCGCAGTGCGCAGCACCAGATGGCGCTGCCTCCAAGGGAACGGCTCTGCTCCGCCGCCCCCGAGCTGAGCCCCGCATCGCCCCCGGGTCCCTCCTCACCGTCACACGGAGACCCAGCCGTATACAAGCAACGGGGCGGTAGATGTGCACATGCAGCTCCATGGCCGCCCTAAGATGCTGGGAGGAAACGCTTGGAGATGAGCGGAGGGAAGTGGAGAGGCTACCAACCAATGCGTCTTGCTGCCCGAATGCTGTGGTATGGCACAGCCTGGCCATGCTGCAGCATGTCTGGGAACTTCAGGGTCCCCTGAGCTGCTGGTACATCTTGTGCCAAATCTGGTGAGAAAAACCAGGCTCTCATTCTTGATGTGCTCCGAAAGTGCAGCACAACAGTGAGCAAATTGCCGCTACTGAACGGAGCCGTATCAGCTAGTCACAGCTCAGTTCTGGGCAGGGTGAGGTTGTTATGTGAGCAAATCCTGTATTTCTGAGCAAGCCTATTCCTCCTGTCCTCTCACAGGGCTCCGGCAGCATTTGTGAACAAGCTTATTCCTCCTCACCTCCCAGCAGAGCTCTCCTGCTCACACAAACACACACTCAGAGCTTGTACAAAGAGTCTGGTTGGGATAACAGCTTGAATTTTCCCATCCCCTGCAACAACAAGGAAAAAAGCGGGTTCATCTTGTGCAGAACAAGGGCTGGGAGCAGGAGCCTGCAGGATTTCACCCTCTCCTCCCTGCTGTAGGTGTCGGAGATGGAGAGCTGCCTGTTTAGACTGCGCTCACTGGCTTGAGGAATATGTGGCGTCCACGGTATGCAGCAGTTCTGTTTTTCCAGGTTTGGTGGCATGGGGTAAGGGGAACTGATGGGAGGGAGGGAAATGAATCACACAAACCTTTGTTGGGGACCAGATATCAAACCCTGCTCGGGCGGATTGCGAGGTATCTGCCTGCCCTTCCCAACCCTGCAGACAGAGTAGATCGATAAGGTGCCCGAGTCCAAAGTGAACCTGAAGGATGAAAAAGAATCTTAGAAATGATAGTGAGATTTCAAGGAAGGAAGAACCACTTGGCAGAGACTGAACTCCTAACCCCGAGCCTTTATCTCGGCCACACCTAGTGCAGATATGTGCATCAGGAATCAAAGCCCAGCCTTCAGCTCACACATGGAGATGGTAACAGCGTGGCTCACCTCCAGCAGGATGGCCAACACACAATGGAGAGAAGGATTGGTCCACAGAAGCACAGAAACAGAGGAACCCCAATAAGGTTTGCAAGTTGACCGCCACTCTCTTAACCATAGCTACCCTCAAAAAAAAAAAAAACAAACCCCAAATTAATTAAACTTCCCCAAGAAAGGCTTCCAGTAATTCATCAAGCCCATCCCACCTGCCTTAATTAGAAATCTTTTGTGTGTGTGTGTGTGGCTAACTTTGCTTTTAATTAAACCCAATATACAACAGCTCGGCTAATTAGTGCGCCGTAACCTAATTTGGATGAAGATGGACGTACGCAACTGAGTAATCAGATTATAATCAGATTAATTTGTATGCATCTATTTCCACACACGTGCTGTTGGTAGTATGCACTAATATGAGTGCATTGGCCTACGGAGATGGTTGAAGCAGAATGTCTGGAGTTGGGTGCATCCTCCAACAAATAAACCTGAACCCTTTGCAATAAGTTGAATGCCCAGCGCGTGGATTTGTCCCTGGATTTAGGTGAACACCAGCCCCCAGTTACCTGCTTTGATTTTATATGTTTTATATTTTATATGGCGAGGAAAGGCCGCAGAAAGCTGCCCTGGGCTCCATAAGGTCCGGCTGGGAGGAGGAAGAGGAGGAGGAGAAGAGGAAGAGCTGAGGGCTGTGACCCCACTAAGAGGCTCAGAGCCATCAGATACCACCTTTCACTTTTTCCTTGGGCAAAATAATAAAAAGAAACAGACAACAAAGAAGAAAAAGAAATAAAATCACCTCCAGCTTTCCTCCCTCCTCGCTCCATCTCCCCATTTCAAACAGCTCTGCAGCCACCAAAAGGGAAACTGGAACCCACCGAGCGCCGCAGCCAAAACCAAGAGA